GTCGGCAGGGCGCTGGGCAGCCTCCTGAAGCTGCGCATCCCGCAGAGCACGGTGCTGCAGGGGATGCTCCGGGGGCATCCCCCAAACCCAGGGGAGGTTTGCGGGGCTGAGGAGCCCATGGGAAGGCCCGGCTGTCCCCGCAAACGCGCGGCGGGGAAGCAGACTTGCCTTCCCCTCCACCCCAGCAGACACCGCTGGCCCTGGCGGGGAGCGTGTGTGCCTGCGAGTTGGTCACACTCCAGCCACGGGACGTTGGAGCACGTGGGTCGGGGTTTCCTACAGGTTCCCTACGAGGTGTGTTTGAAGGGCTCAGCTCCCCGTCATGCAAGCGGCGTGTCCTCCCTGTGCTACGGGGACGGGGAGGTTCGAGAGCAGAGTGCTTCGCCATTCCTGCCACAAGCCTTGCGCCCTCCCCGGGGCTCTCGCTCCCTCTGCTCTCCCTCCGGCTGGAGCCGGCACACAGCTGGATGCTGGTCACCTTGTATAACCTTGGGTGGAGGGTGAAAGCTCAGCTTTCACCCATCCTGCTGTGCCCGGCAGCTGCAGACAGAGGGGAAGGTCCCTCGAAGACCTGCACAGGTTCCCAGTAAGACCCAGACGCTGAGCCTGAACATACTGGATTCCTGCAGCAGCGACGAGTGTGTTCTCAGCCCTGCCGCCTCACTGCGTCCCACGTGCACCAGCAGCAGTACCTCCCTACGGTCCCTTGTACCTGCACGGCTGACACTTCGCTAACAGAATCACAGAATCACAGAATGGTTAGGGTTGGAAGGGACCTCTGGAGATCATCTAGTCCAACCCCCGAGATGAATCTTCAGCCAGTCCACGGTCTAAGCCCTGCTGCTCCCGCTCTACAAGCGGCGCCCTGCTCTGGCAGAGGGGCTGACCCCAGATGTGTTCCTCCTTAGCGCCTTTATTGAACCAGTCTCCTAAAATGTCCTCAGAAGGACAACCGAAAATCCAAACTCTAATCCACCTGATGCCTGATACAAAAAAATAAACCAACAGGATCCTCCCATTGCTATTTCCTTTTGTTGGATGACTTAAATGGGTTGTAAAGACATTTAAGTGACAAATTGTTGTCTCTGCAGCGGAACTAAATAGGGGTGGGAACACTTCACCTTGGATTCTCTTATTAGTCACACGAAACACTGCACCGCACAGAAATTAAAAGGGATACAACCATTTAAGCCTCAAAGAAGACAGCGGATAGACAGTCACACCACTCAGCCACCCAGGTTCTCACTGATGCACACTAAACTTGCTGTCTCTTTCAGATTAAGGAAAAGTTGAGAAGTTTGTGTAGAAAAACCTACCAACGCTTGCAGTGGGTGTCATGCACAGAACTGACCCTGCACACCATGCATTGAAGCGTGGAAAGATGAACAAAAGGGATATTTCATTAGTGAAGCTCCAGTGTTAGAAATCACTTTTAACTAAAAAGCAGGTATTCTCTTTGCAGCATTCAGTATTTAAGCACATGCAAACAGATTCTGCATATTGGTACGTAAATAGTTTAAACTCAGTTTTAAGAGATCACAGCAAACCAAATTAATTCTTGAATTCTTGGGTAGTAGAGAATGTATTTCTTCTCCCACCCTGGTATCAAATTATATGATCTATCCTAGAAATCCAGGTTGTTTGGGTTGGGGTTTTTTTGGTATAGAGTATGTTGACTTCTTTCCGATCATGTCACCAGAAAACAAATTGCCCTTAGAGGAACGTCATGCTCATGTTAAAACCGACTTTCCAAAAGCAATTTACTCCTGCAAGCTGGGATTCAAAGTCTCTAGTTTAAGCTGAAAGAGGCAGTTTTCTTCTGGACTTGAAACAATCGTGATGAGGCCATTTTCAATAGACACCCTGACCTTCCTCCCCCCACCCCATGGCAACCCACGATGCTGATCTCTCAACAACTGAAGAGGAGAAACTAAGAAAAGCAACAGCTCGATTCCCCTCCCCACGGCGTGAGCTGCTACGTGCTGCCTCTCTGCTTCGCCTTCCCGAGCGCTGCAAAGGCCGAGACCAGATCCGCAGTCTGATGCATAAGGGAAAACGGGGATGCGTAACATAAATTCATCAGAAATCCGTCCTCTGACTGGAAATTTGCTGTTCTGCCCAGCATTAATGTCTTCAGACGAGAGCAGGTGCCAGCAAATAGACCTGTTACGCATCAGCCCCGCGCGTAATTTCATTGCCATGAGCCAGGGCACAACAGCACACCGGGAGTGCCGGGTGGAAAGCTAATTTATGGTGCTCGCATCAGAAATGCGTGTCCTTATGTCAACTTTGGCAACGGCGACCTCGAGGAAGAGGAGCGTACAGCCAGCGGGAGGACTTGGCATTCTCAGAGGTGTCAGTGTTTCCTGGAGAAGCATTTCACTTGGCTCCTAACAGAGTTTTGGGAAGGTCAGCTCAGCCCGTCCCCTCCAAGAGCACTTTGCAGAGCACGAGGCAGGAGGCTACCACTCGAACGCCTCCCTCCGTCTCTCCGTACAAGACTCCACTTCCCTGGAAGAACATCTCGGCAGCTGCTGAGTTCTGAGTGTCCCCAACTGCTCTCGTAACGGGAAGGTCACAGGAGCACAGGGTTCAGGTCCCAGCTCTCTGGACCCACCTGAGCCAGTTTGGTCTCAGTCTCTACAGCTCTTCCCCTGACCCCAGGGAATGGCAAGGCCAAGGTGCAGGTCCACGGTGGTCACCTCGAGGGGCCAGCCCAGAGAAACACTTCGTATATATTTGTAAATATCGTCTGGCAAGTGAATACAGCATTAAATATTAAAAACACCGGGGCTTTGTTTTCTTACGATGCTCTGCAATGATAATAGTTATACTAAAAAATGAGCTATCAACTCTGGAATATTCCTAATTCAGCCACTTATAACACTTACTGCTCTAAGCAGGTTTGGTTTTTCATTTGGCTGCAGTGAACAGAGGTTAACTGGCCGGTCAGCAGTCGCATCTGCCACGTCAGTATTTCAAGTCCTATATGAATTACTGAACTGCATCTTTCAATTTTACTCTGAGACCTTAAGAACTGGGAGTGAAATTGCTTTTAAAAAGCTTAGGTTATCATAGCGGTCAAAAGACAAGCAAAAGGGAAATATATGTCTTTAAATAGGATTATGTAATTTGTATTTACTAAAGAGGAACCGTCCTCTCTATAAACATCGTGGCTGTTAGCATATGTAGGTCACTGAGACAGAAGCTCAGAAAGACACCTGCAGCTTCAAGTCAGCAGGCGGATCTACATAGAGGTCCACAAGACATTTTAACATGAGTTAACATGAGTGCTACACAAGAGTCAAAGAATTAATTTGGGATTAACTACTTGAACCGTAAGGAGGAGAAACAGAAAGTATGAATTCAAGAAACATGCAGACCTTTTTCTTAGTTCGACCACTTAAAAAAAAAAAACAAACCCCAAAACCAAACAAAAAAGGCTAAGAAGGGATCTTTACAAGAGAAAAGCTCTGAATTGTAGTAGATGAAGAAAAAAAAAAAAGTCAAACAATATACGTTAACTTTTCATCCATTTTTAACATGAAACTACACACTAATACTCTTTTACTAGGGACTCTTACAAATCTGCTCATTAGCTCAACGCCTAGGTCATAAAAAGACAACTGTGCTGCTGGGGAAAGCAAGGAGACGCTTACCTGTAGGGATGAACGTAGGCTGTTGCAACTGCATGTTGGCTAGAGCCTGTTGGTAGTGGAAAACGCTTGGGTTAAAGACTGTGGTGGCACCATTGTTTTTTTCAAGTGCTGGTCTCTTTGGTAAAGGTTGAAGTGCACCAGGCGGCAGGGCCTGTGGATAAGGGAGGCATTAAAGACAAGTGGAGTAAAAAAAGGGGGCCCAGACGTAGACCAAGCATGCAATAAATAACAGGGGGTCTTGGCGGCAAATCACCTGCAACTGCATCAACTTAGGGAGGCAGGGAAGAGAAGGACGGCTAAATCACGGTAGAAGCAGTAGGTGGAACCACAACTTCACTAGGGAGGCAGTTAGTAACGCACCAGGAGAAGGGGCAGAGTCGAGGCGGAGGGATGCTAAGGGAGCTTCTCAACAGGGCTGACTTGGGCACACAGGGAAAAAAAAAGCCCGGAGGAAGAGGAGGAGTAAGGGGAGAGGTGTTCACCTGGACACGGTACTACGAAGAGCAGTTGCAGGCAACAAGCATTTACAAAAAAAACCCCAAACCAAACCAGCTAAGAGAAATAGAGTAGATGACTATTAAAAACCCAAGAAGATTAGCATAAGCAACAAATGCCACGGGAAAAAAAATAAGGGACGCTTGCCTCTGCCTGTCTCAACACCTCCCTACTCGTACGAGTGCACGCGTGGAAGTGTGCGCACTTGTGTGCAGCCAACCCCTGGGTCCGGGTGGTAAAGCTGTCGGTTACCAATTACGTCCATAACGTGACATTCATATTAAAACGCCATTTCCACTCGTTAATAGCGAGACCGAGCAACGTGGTCAAGAACAGGCCTGATTCTCTACCACTCGCACCAGCGGCACAGCTCACCACCAGCCGACTTGGACCCGCTCCCAGTGTCGAGTTGATGGCCTCCACCAGTTAAATACTGCTCGCTCGGTATTAACAGTGGAAAAAGCTGTCGACAAATCTGGTGTTCGAACAAGATTTGGGTGGGCCTTGCTATCAGGCAAATCCTCTCTTTTTGTTCTATCACACCACCGGGCTTCTTCCACCCCGTCAAACCTGTTTCATGATCAGACTTGGTAAAAAGCATTAACCCAACTCAGGAACTTTTCTCGGTGAGTTACTCATCATTCACCCAAGCGTGTCTCAACAGCAAAGTAGTATGTCAGGTTCTTAGGAGACAGGAATGTTTCTAATGATTTACAGCTTTTCATTGTACCCGAGCAAAAAGCACATTTTTTTTCTCCACGTTGTGATAGAAAAGGGTCCTTTTTAATTATGCCCCACAGTCCTTTTTGCACGTAACACTCCCATTGACGTCAATGAGACTTACGCACGTGGAAGTCATGCAGAATCAGGTCATTTCTGCCTAGTTGTGTTAGTCTGTATCATGTAGCAAAGCAATGGCTGAAAAATAGGGTTATCACTCCTATTTTTTTTTTAACAGGTGACAGTGAAAGGTAGATAATGGAGGAGGTTTAGCTAATGAAGGGTTAAAGCTACAACCACACAGTACTTGGAAGAAAGGACACAAGCAGAGATTTGAAAGCGTTATGAAGATCAACACACAACAGAACATAAGTGAAAGCTTGCAACAGTTTGCCACCATCTAGAAACAGGTTTCACTTTAAATTTAATTTGCTATAGGAGACTGCTCATCTGAGAAATGTTAAGCAAGATACTTCCAGGCAAAACATTACTCCATCCTATCTCTACTCGCATGGTGGCTTTTGGGTGGTTTGAATATTAAAAAAAAAAAAAAAAATTAGAAGAAATTGCATTTGCAAAACTGCCCTCAGACATGCACGCATCCTCTGCTAATGCTAGCAGGCATCAGTGCCAGCATTAGGACTTCATCTTTCCACACTTCCTCTGGCTGGTACCAAAAGACAGCAGTCAAACACGGAACAATATTCTCAGACACAGACACCAAACCTTTGCTTAAGGTCTGTATTTTGGAATAAGATCTTCTCGGTACAGATCTAAGAGTTCCCATTTCTAGGGAAGCCTTTGTTGCTATCTAGGTTAAATCTGACCATATCTACATCTCGCCTATTTAACGATTGCTCCATGAACGTTCCTTCAGGCACGGGACAGATTTGCAGCTTGTAGAGACCGGAGTAGCTCCGCTTACATCAGAGGTGTTTTACAGATTACAGATTTACAGTGACTGCAGAACTTGCTGCTTACATTCATGCTCCTTAGTGTGCACGATTGCAAAACATTCTTTTTCAGACGCTTCCAAATTCTGCCTCAGAAAAAAATTTACTAATTATAGCAAAGCAACTCTGCCAGGCACATAATGGACTTTTGACTCCTTGTTTCTTGGCCAAAGGCTGTCACCACCCCAAAATGCCCATTATCCCATAATGGCAGTGCCAAAAGCAGAACAGCTGAAGGCTTTGAGACCTCGCTGTGATGTCCTGGCTCTTTACAGGACAACTCCTGAGCCCAGCGCTGCAGTCAGAGGGAGCACACAAACACCCACAGGCCATAGGGATGTCAAGGCACAAAGGTCTTCCCCGTCATCTCTCCGCCATCATCCTTCCTCCTGGTCTGCTAAAGCCACGTGGGAGCAAGGGAGAGAAAGGAGCTGTGGCAATCCCTGAACAGTAGCTGGGGGCAGAAACCCAAATAAATGCAACATTTCCGGAGTCTTCTAATGAAACAAGCACACTTCTGTGGGCACAGGAGCCAGGAGCCCATCGCCATCTGCTTCTGGTTTGACCCAGCCTTCTGGGTCACCTCTCCCACCCCAGCCGCTGGGGGAGCATCCGTACAGGAGCATGTCCTGAAGATGCGCTCCTCCTGTTACCAACCTGTCTAATTGCAGATATCAAGGTACCGGAGGGCCCCGGGGGACAGAAGGGTGTTGCTTCACCACTTCTTCAGCCCTCGTGTTGAGGTAACGGCCTCAAGTCCGGGGCACACTCACTGAAAGGTCTACCTACAAGTGCCCAGGAGAGGTGTCTAAAATTGCACATGGGCCAATACAGCTCCTGGCATGGACACTGGAGCAAACAAGTGTGTCTCTTTGGAAACGAGGAAAGCCAGCGTTCCTGTAACGGCCTCAGGACCTGCCGGGATGGTAACAGCTCATGGGGAGACATTTCTGTCATGGGTCTGAAGGAACACCCCAAGCCTGTCCTGCAGCACCTACAAAAGGCAACGGGAGACTCCTCACCACATTCTGACTTTAGTGAATTCTGTAGCAAGTACCTCCCTGCTGCAGGACAGGAGCTAGACTAAATCCTTGTAGCAAAGAACTTACTTGCTGAGTGTACCTCATCCTGCTGCTTGTCATTGCCCTCTGGACAAGCTCTGACCATCACAGACATAGCAGTAACCTCTGACAGTAACCTCTTCTGACTTTCCAGGAACTTTTTTCCAGTACCTAAAGGGGGCCTACAGGAGAGCTGGGGAGGGACTTCTTACAAGGGCATGGAGTGATAGGATGAGAGGGAATGGTTTTAAACTGGAAGAGGGGAGATTGAGATGAGATCTGAGGAAGAAATTCACTCTGAGGGCGGTGATCCCCTGGGGCAGGTTGCCCCGAGAAGCTGTGGCTGCCCCATCCCTGGAGGTGTTCAAGGCCAGGTTGGACGGGGCTTGGGGCAACCTGGGCTGGTGGGAGGTGTCCCTGCCCAGGGCAGGGGGGTGGAACCAGATGATCTCCAAAGTCCCTTCCAACCTAACCCATTCTATGATTATTTTTGCCCATGCGTGTGCACACATGCGTATGCAACATATGCAACGTGATCAGCCCATGTGCACTGCTGAAAGGGTTAATTCACTTCAGTATCCATGCGATAGCCTGCACTGATCCCAATGAAGAATTCCCACTACAAAAATGCCAGACACCCTCCCACTTTTGGGCTGGGAAAGCCAGCCACATTCCTGCTGGAACACCAGCATCTGAACAAAGAGGTTTGTGCCACTTCTCTGCATGGCATGGCGAGCAATCTTTCAGCATGACTGACAGATAAAAACACTTTGCATGCCAAAGTCAAAATTTCCCATGTGCCGGCTAACAGCCCTCCCCTTTTTTTTTTTTTTTTTCCGCAAGACGAGGACTGGATTAAATCTTTGCAACAAACAATTTAATTGCACCTCACAGTTCCCCTCAGATCGCTATCTCCCCGGAGCGGACCACACTTTCACCCCCTCCACGCTCAGCAAAGCGGGGCCGGGTCTGCATCTGGCTCTCTGCTTCAGTCCGAGGCACTACAAAACACAAAACCATCTGAGAGAGGGCAGAGGCGGCGCCCGTTCCCTGGCGAGCAGCAGAAGAGATCTCAGCAGGTTCCTCTGAACATTATACACGCTCTTATCGCCACTGTGAATCCTTCTCTGGTGCAGCCTTCCCAAAGGGTTCAGAGGAGGTGACACATTCCAACAAGGCGGTTTGCAAATCTTCAGATGTTTCAGCGCAGGAAGACTATTAAAAGTAACTTATCTGATGGGGGTTTGTTAAGCAGGGGAGGTCAGGAGGGTAGGGGAATTAAAGGGCTTTCCCATCCTCCACCAGACTCTCTCTCCCTGGAGAGATGGCTCTCGGAGAGGGCAGCAAGGCACCACGCAGGTCACTGCCTACGCTGGCTTTGGGGACAGCCACTGGCACCGGGGAGTGAGAGGCTGTCACGTCATCTACAGCGTAATTCCACGACTGCTGGCGAAAGCTGGTCCCTAGAAAGGTTTCCTGCTGCTGCTGTCTAAAACCCTGGTAAGAAAGCCTCTTGACTACTTAAAAAAACCCCAAAACAAGTTTTCAGAGAGGAAGGGGAGCAGATCAACCTCTGCTTCCCAGCTCTGGGAATGGGGAGCAAAACCGGCTTGAAGGCTTCAGGGCTGCCCTGTGTCCACTCTTCCCTTTGCCCCCCATAGCTGGGCGACAGGCGCCATTTTTTGCAGGATCTATTGGATCCCTCATTATTTGGGCTGAATGGGAAACAGTTGTCTCCTGTGGAGCCAGGACGGAGAGCAGACTGGGAGGATGGCTTTTGCCTCGCTATAGAATCACAGAATCGTCTAGGTTGGAAGGGACCTTTAAGATCAACAAGTCCAACCACCAACCTAACGCTGCCAAACCCACCACCAACCCATGTCCCTGTGAGTGTCACGAAGACAGAAAAAACGTATTTGAGACTCAGAAAATAATCAAAGGTGGCTTATATGAAGACGGTTTGCAGGCAGGAGCCTGGGGAGCGGATCCTGTGCCTGCAGCAAAAGGCACCCATAGCGAGGTCCCTTTGGTGACGCTGCAATATGGGGGAAGAACCAGCGCCAGCTGCAGTCACCTCCCCACCTTACCGAACAAGCGACCAAAGTCCCGCACTGAACTCGGCACAGCTCTCTGTGGGTGTTCCTTAGCTCTCTCCCCCTGCTTCTCCTACTGCCAGGAACCACCAGGACCGCAGAGGTCCTACATTTGCGCTGTGCCTGTTGCACACAACACCGTTTTGCAGAGCGGTACCAGCAGGACCCTGCCAGGCAAGGCTGTGCTCTTGGGCGTACCACCAAAAGTTGCCGGATCTGTCCCGCGCCATCCGGGCTTCTGGCACATCCAACACACCGCAGACCTAATGAGTTCAAGTCTCACCACAACACTGCGTCTCACAACTCCGAAGCTGCTGCTGTTTGGAAAAACACCTCAAAACCCAGCGCTGTCTCCCCCCTACCCCCCTCCCCTAAGGTTGTCCGCTGCCTCCAAAACGCAACCGGGCTTCAGGAGGCAAAGCGCGGATGGTTAATGGATGGTGTGCAGGGAGCAGGATGGGCATGTCTGAGCGGACACTGCAACATTTCTGGCCGGGATGGGCAGTCTCCCCAGGCACTAACACCACAGACCAAGCGCGGAAGGCTTTCATGCAGACTACGATGGTTACGTGCAAAGCCAGAAGGTGAAAGGTCCAAGTACCAGGTCAAAGGTTGCCTCCAGCGGTCGCTTCAGTGATCTGACAGCTGGCTGAGTCTTAATTAGCAGGCAGCGAGCACATGATGGCAATGGGCCGGGGATGGGGGGTCAAGCACAGTAACAAAAACAGCAAGCAGAGGTGTGTCAAGAGAGAGCGACATTTTGGGGAGGCGAAGAGAAAAAAAAAAAAAGTAACAAAAATGAATGCATTATACAACATATTAAAAAGACGAGGCATGCACAACGCGGGGTGGCTGAGTAACTACCTGGCCTAGCGGCTAGTCAGCTATTTTGCCCCAGTAAATTTTAAAAGTAAAGGAACATCCTCACGGGACACGTGCTGTGGAGCATCCCCACTGCGGCTGGCACAGCCGGCGAGGAGCCCCCCCGGGATTATCCCCCACAGGTGGACTTGCGCTGGGCTTCAGCCCTCGTTCCGCAGCTCCACACCACGCGGAGGGCAGCGGGAGCGCTCGTGGCAAGGGAAGGACCACCGGTAGAGAAGGGAGGTTCAAGCACGTGCTTGAGTGCCATCCTGAACTGGGGACTGAGCCTGACCCAGTTTGTCTGACTTCGCTGCACAGACTTCAGCCAAGTGCGTAAAGCCACTCCTTGTGCATGTCAAGTAACCCCAAGACCGGGTCCCTCAGAGCTATCTTCTGAATTTAGGTTTGAGGTCATTCCAAATCTATTTTAGAAGGTACACCCAATTTGTCTGGTGGATGTTGTTTTGATCCAAGAAAACTGGGCACCGTTTTCCCCTTTATTAAAGTCTTATTCCTCAACAGGTACAGTAAATGCATCAAACCTTGAAAAGTGAATGAATAATGTAAGCTGTTTTGGTAGCAGGGGTGATGCAACAAGCCATCAATAAATATTTTAAAGGTTCTAGTTAACAGCATACAAATAAGGTTAATTACATTTTTAAGAGAAGCCAGCAGCATGAATAAAACACGCACTGGCTTTGGTTAAGTAGCGGTGTCCTAGATAATTAGTGAAAAAGTAAAGATTCAATTGTTAAAAAACACAAGAGTTTCATTTCAGAAGGTTCTTTTTCAACAGTCCTGGGCTCTTGTTTCAACCATAACAAAAATAGTAAGAAATCTAATAAACAAACTCTGCAGGACAAATAAATACTGCAGCATAAATTGGTTCTTCAAATTACATTCTAGGTACTATTGATGCTACAAGGAGGGCAGTTGTTTAATTTCTAGAATCTTCCTGGCTGTGCATTAAATTTCACCACGAATGAAAAGCAACCTCTTTTACCGTCTTGAAAACAAAAAGTTATTTAGAAAAATTTTAGTAGCCTTACTTCTAAATCCAAACGGAGGCAAGACCCTTTTTCATATTAGTTATTAAAAAAAAAAAATAAAAAAATCACAGAAAGAGATGAGGTTGGAGGGGACCTCTGAAGATCACCCAGGCCAACACCCTGCTCAAAGCAGGGTCAACCAGAGCAGCTTGCTCAGGGCTGCGGCCGAGTTCTGAGTATCTCCGAGGTCGGAGCAACCTGTTGCAGCGTTTGATCACCCTCATGCTAAAGCGGTTTTTTCTTATGTTTAAATGGAATTTCCCGAATTTCGATGTCTGCCCACTGCCTCTTGTCCTTTCACTGGGCACCACAGAGACGAGGCTGCCTCCGCCTTCTTCACTTCCCCCGTCGGGACTTTATACCCCCTGGGCCTCTTCTTCCCTCCCCAGGCTGAACATCGCAGCGCTCTCACCTCTGGAATAAATAGATGCCATTAAACCAAACGCAACAGAATGGCAAACATTTACTCCGGCTAGGAATTGGATCTGGTAAGTTTTCCTTGACTCGTTTTTAGGATTGTAGGGCTCAGAAGTCACAATTCAAACTAAAACGCAGGTGGGACGTTCTCTACCAAGTCCAAAGTACCCAACAGGTCAGGAAGTCACCCTCGGTCTGAGCCCTGTCATCTCACTGAGCTTTGGCAAAGGTATCAGGCACAAGTTTGCTCAGCTCGAACAATCGATATTCGGTCTGCTTTTAAGTCAGTGGAAATTTTGCTACTGACTTCAACAGGCCAGGATCTCCCTGCAAAGGACGTATTATGGGATGGGCAGCCCTTGTGTACTGCGGCAGCTAAACTGACACCTACGACTTAGCCAGGGAAGGTGTTGGTTCCAGGTGCTGCTGTACGTGCACTCATGTCACGCCATGATGTCATGTCAGAAAATCACAGGGTTCGCCACCGTGTCCCCCTAACTGGCGGGAAGTGCTGCGCCACTCAGGGCTTCATGCTATGAAGCACACAGAAAGGATGAAGAGATGGGATTCATACCGCACATGCTCTCAGCTCTCTAGTCAGCCATTTACAAAGCGCTCTGCTTTTCCACAAATGACACATATGACACGAATGAAACCTCTCAGCAACAGAAATACAGCTCGAGAAGAGCTCTACTTACCATTGCAGCTGCAGCTGTCTGGTTCACCTGGTGTTGAGCTGCCTTGATTTTGGCTTGCAGGTGTGCAGGGGGATGAAAGTACTTGCATTTCTCCCTAGAGCATCGACCTTTGATGTAATCCATGCAAACTGTAACAGTATTTTCATTTGTGTCTATCATTGCAATATCTATAGGGTGAGCATAGCGGCAATCATTCTCACCACGTGTGCAATTTCCACGCTGAAACTCTCGACAAACCTTAAAAGAAAGTCACATTGTTGAGCAGAACATCGTTATTCTTCATTCAGTATTTTCAACACATACTATCGGTTCAGCTGGCCACATTAAACTACGCCTGTACGCTAAATCCACGCTCATCTTGGGTAGCACACATACCAAGTCACAGGGGCAACTGGTGCTACGCACAGCTGGTACAGGGCATGAAAAAACCCGCAACAGTACGACGGCCAATTATCAAATTCAAGTGAAGTACAGAATTTGTGCAGAATGGAAAGTGACCCTGGGAAGTCAGTACCATTTTGCCAAAACTTAGGGAGCTCAGGATTCCTCCCCTGCCTCTAAAGCTTAAATGTTAATAACTCTGCCATTTGTGTCTCAGCTGGATTACGTATTTGTTATTGGGCACGCTCTCAGGCAGGACATTTAATTCTAAACATTGCATGTGGCTGTTATTTGCAACAAGTATCTTTTCTTAAATACGAGGAGCCTCTTTCACATGGTCTCACTGCCCTCCGCAATAAAATGCTGACCCTGCGGTTACTGACAGCACGTTTGATTACACTGCAATGTGTTCGTAGGGTGTTACCAAAATCGCTAGCTTTACCAACATCTTGCAGATCCTCCTAAGTTATGAGCACTGAAGCATCAAAGGCAGAGAAAAAGGTTCACAAAACGGATCTGTAAGAGTTCCTTGTCTGAGGTACTAAAAGGAATCGTTGAGGATTATAGCTGGTGGTATAGATCACGTACCAGTGCACTATCAGGCTGAGCGTGGGGAAAGGTGAGACATCATGTGAGAAAAGAAGGAATCAGCAAGGCAATCTAAAGTACATAGCACGAAACGGTGTGTTTTGAAATTACACCCTTCTCCACTACCTTCCTGTGTTATAATTTACACCTGCAGGGGCCTCTGAATTCAGGTTCTCAGCCTTTATCTCCTGCAAAGCCTCTGCTTAGGGTTGGAAAGACGCTTACAACTCCCCCAACACTGAGCCCCAGCACGCCCAGCCAGCTGGGGGGGAGGAGATGCCTTTCCCATGCCCCGTACGCAGCATTTCCAACAGCGTAATGCTCGAAGCTTTCTGCAAAAGCTCAATAAGCTGTTCTTGAGACAAGCAAAGTGTCTGTCACTTCCAAAACATCTCCCACTCAACTCAGCGAAAGGGCAGACCATCTAATTGCATTTTTTTCAAGTGTGGCAGATCACACACGGGAAGCAACAACCCCAGCCCTCCTCTAATGCCCACTGAAATCAGAAGAGTGCTCCCAAATTTCCAGTGACTTCCAAGGACCTGGGATCGGAACCCACACGAGAATGCGTCCGAGCAGAGAGCGGCAGATTGTGTGAGGAAAGCTGCAAGTTAAACTCTGCACTACGCTGCACCGGGGCATTCTAGCAGAGAGCAGGAGCTGGGACCACATGCCCTGTTCATTTCCATCAGCAGTATCGTATCAGATGTCCAAATACCTCCAGTTTATCCGTACGCATCAGTTTCTGCCCAGCAGAGCCTCCTGGTACTGTAACAGTAGGATTTCCGGAAACCAGGACAGGAGTATTTGGTAAAAGCTCTGCAGGAACCAAGCCCATCCCAGGAGAAACGTGACTCAGGTAGGGACTAAAAGCCATCGTGGGGCTCGTTGCAAGCGATGGAGTCACAGGAAACGTCGTCTGCATATGGAAAGAGGAAAAACAAAATATTAGTTAAAAAGCTCCATCTTGGATTACCCCTCAAAGCCTTGCAGTGCTTCGGTCCTTTTACACAATTCGATTAGCGACATCAAAATGCCGTGCTCTCGATCTGTTCATTTATCGCCATTTACTTGCGATCCGGTCGTTTCTCCTGACTCACAGATTTGTGACTCAGCCTGAACACAAGGCATCTTTATTTGTCAGATCAAAGCATATTGATGATCTTTATAGTTTAATGACACAATTAAACAAGCAATTAGGGCAGGCCCAAATTAAACAGACTTCTCATTCCCAAATAAATGTCTTAGCTTCTGTATGTCTGCACTGAGCCCCCGGGGCAAACCGCAGCTCCAGGTAACCCTGTTAGCCGCACGGCTGAACTCACTACCAGCCTGCACCGGGCTCAGCGTTGCCATGGCTGGCCTGGCCTCAGGTAGGCAAACAGGACCATTTAGAGTCAGGCGAGGCATCTCTGCGACGGTACGCTGGAGGTCTCTGTTCTGCAGGTCTGGGGTTTGTTTCAGACTGCCAACAGCCTCCAAGCAAAAGCCATTTTGCAGGAGCATCCTGAGCCTACGCTCCATGTGAACGGCAGCAAGAGGACACCAAAGCCACCAGTGTCACAACGTGCCAGACCTCATGGCTTCAGCAAGAGCGGGTGGGTCGTGGGCTTGGAAGAGCCATGGACAGAGCGTACCAGATGAGGTGGCTCAAGTGGGCTAGCACGAGGTCCAGGACCCCAGCTGGGCTGTGAGGAGCGATGTCCCCGTGAGGAGGTGCAACAACGAGCCATAAAGACCTCAACTGCTTCCAACCCCTAAATGGCGTTGGGCAAGCACAGCCGAGCTTCAGCGCCGGTGGCCAGAGCAGCTCCCCAGCGTGAACTGGGAAAGGAGCCGCCGTTCTGCCAGGCAGGGGAGATCACACCACGCTCCTGTGCAGGTGCTCGGTTTCAAGTCTGTGAACAGCTCCTACGGCCAGGGAGCTTGTGAGACCTTAAAGCGCCAGATCTGAGGGGCGTTTGGGAATGACACCAATTCCAGCGGATGGAAACCCGCACCCTGCCCACCCCGCAGACTCGACCAGCCCCAGGACAAGCAGTCTGTGACAAAACACCCTTTATATCTTCCCCTTCTGTCACCTGCTCCACTGTCAACTCCGGGTTACAGTCAAAGCCGCTCACGTTGGCGGGCGCACGTGATGCCACCCTCGGTAGCTAAAGCCTCTACTCTGCAATAAATGCAACTACACATACAAGATAGCCTGGGGTCGGTTTTTTTGGTGACACACATCACCCCCTATCCCCCATGCTTTTATTTTTGTATTTCTAGTCTTGTGGGTTTCTAAAAGAAACCACATATGGACAGCGTGTTTTCTTGATGGCATCTTTATCCCAGTACTTTTATACAATAGGAAACACTTTGCTGCTTGTGATCTAGAAGAATCCAGCCCGCAGCAGCACCAGCCGAGCTGTCCTAACCTATCCTTAGCTTAAGGATGTCCCCTTCCTAAGGTCACAGTGACAGCACGCAGCGCCTTAGCTCATGGAAAGGGGATGACAGGTCACTTCCAGCATCTGTCCCACTTTCTCCTCCACGATGAGGAGACAGCCTCCTGAATCAGCGCTGCTGGGTTCTTCAAGCGTAGCAGAACCATATAATCCCCTCTCTGGGATGGATTTCCAATTTTCCTTCTTTTGAGCCTGAGTCAAGCCCCGCTTCAGCTCATGGGAGACTTTAACTGTTATACCCAGAGATCCTCCAGTCCACAGCCCTTTATTAAATCATTTTCTTCTCTCTTTCAATTCTCCGTGGCTCCCAGACATTTTACACCTTTTGCTGCTGGAAAAAGCTCTTTAAGGATCTTCAGATGCTGTAACTCCCTGAACACTGTAGCGAGAAGGCAGCATCCATTAGGCTGTTTTCTTTTGTGCAAGCACCAGTAATTACAGCGGCATCTACTGAACTTCTGTCACCGTTTGCACTGTAAATGCTATTTTAAGGAGCTTCTCCAGCCTGGCCAGTCTGCACAGGGTTGTGCTGGGGCCCAGCACACGTTGTCAGCACTTGGTTTGTGTGTACCCATAGTAGCCCAAACCTTCCAGCACATGTGGCTTGCACAAATGTGCAAGGGGCAAATCTACCCCTACGGGTTTCCAGCACCCAACACAGCAGGAATCTTAGAGACCCTGACAGAGATGTGGCACAGACGTTGCTCCAAAACTTCAGGAGACCCTTGAAGGCAAACTGCCCCTGCTTGGGCTCCCGCACAACCAGGAGCCATCCCCAGGACCCAGCTGGTTTCTGAGACAGGGGGTGATCTTCCTCCCACTGCTCAAGTGGAGGACGCCAGGGCGTTTGTGCAGCCAGGGAGGAAGGCTGGGGGCTCGCAATGCCTCGCGCTGACCCCATTCACCAGAAACCGGTGGGAAGGGGTGCGAAACATTGCCGAAGAGATGGCATACCAGCCCCTGCACCAAAGCCACTACGAAGTGGGAGGCAGGTCCCCCAAAACACAGTCCCTATCTCTTAAGGGTGTTCCCCAAAACATAGTGCCCCTCTCCAAAGCTGTTCCCTCAAGAGCAGTCCCTCTCCTCACTGGGAGCAACTGGCAAGGGCCAAGGGACCTGAACCCAAGCTGAGGTGAGTGGAGAAAAGATGTCAGTGAAGAGCAACCAAGGAGTACAACCTCCTCCTGCTCCCGGGACATGCAAAGGGGTGCACAAAGGAGCAGGACGGGTTTTTCTTGATGACTGCTGCCATTTTTCACCTATTTCCATGTCCTGATATCTCCTGCCATGTTCCTAAGGTTTCACAACCGCTTCTTCTGCCCACCTGAACCGTACGCCTGGTGCTGCTGACTGCAAGGGACAGCTCTGCTCCACAGCCTGCCCGTGGGCAGGGGACCCACACTCGGTGGCCACGCGGGGGTCTTCTGCAGAGGCACAGCCAGAGACCTGGCTCACCGCGTTGCACCCAGAAGCACTGGGGTTTGTAACTCTGGAGCGCACGACGCACGCTGAAAACTGCTTCTTTGTAAGCTGGCATCAGGGAGCTCTGTATTTATTGTGGCTGATGAGGGGAAAAGATGGGCTGCGCTCATTGCCAGCCCCAACTGCCTGTCTTGGATTGGGAAATCCAGTCTGGCTCATGCATCAGTACCAGTAATAAAGATGCTGCCAGCCAAATCTCTCCTCCCTTTACGTCTGTGCAGGTCCCTCGTGCCAGGCCTGTCCTGAGGGATTTTGAGCGAGTTTCCTCCTTGCAGCCAGAACCTGACAGTAATTTCTACTCCAAACGGCACAGCTCTCCTCAACGCACATCCCATCCACCTCTCCTGACTGCATCCCACCAGGGGACCTGACACATCAATGATATCACTGTACACTGAAACAAAAAGTCTCAACTTAGTCGCTGGTGTGCTCTAGGGCAAAACGGAGGGATTGGAAGTACCCCCACTTACCCCTTGCTGCCCCCCTTAAAGCTCTTGCAAACTCAGGAAATACAGGGTCAGGTTTCCTTGCAAACTACCTTTTATTAACCACAGCATGAGCAGACACTACCAGTAACTCCTGAGCAGAGGGAAACAGGTTACAGGGCAGTGCCAGAGGGGTCCAGACTGGTAACAGCTCACAAGACTGGTTTACTAAAAGAAAAAGAAAAAGAAAAAAAGAAAAAGAAAAAGAAAAAGAAAAAGAAAAAGAAAAAGAAAAAGAAAAAGAAAAAGAAAAAGAAAAAGAAAAAGAAAAAGAAAAAGAAAAAGAAAAAGAAAAAGAAAAAGAAAAAGAAAAAGAAAAAGAAAAAGAAAAAGAAAAAGAAAAAGAAAAAGAAAAAGAAAAAGAAAAAGAAAAAGAAAAAGAAAAAGAAAAAGAAAAAGAAAAAGAAAAAGAAAAAGAAAAAGAAAAAGAAAAAGAAAAAGAAAAAGAAAAAGAAAAAGAAAAAGAAAAAGAAAAAGAAAAAGAAAAAGAAAAAGAAAAAGAAAAAGAAAAAGAAAAAGAAAAAGAAAAAGAAAAAGAAAAAGAAAAAGAAAAAAGAAAAAGAAAAAAGAAAAAGAAAAAGAAAAAAGAAAAAAGAAAAGAAGTTGAAATGGCTGTTGAGAGAACACATCTCGGGGGGGGCTGCCAAGGACTCCGGCAGCTCTGAGCTCCTCACAGACCCCGAGCACAGAGCACAGGGAGAAGCGACAGTCCCAGGGAGGGGCATTTGTCACCATCGGTGGTGACAGAACCTGGAACAGCTGATTTTGTTAACAAACTCGAAGTTGCATTCGATTTGCCTAGCAGAAATCGTACCAAAGCTAGAGAAGAAAACACAGAGTGGGTGTGAAGAGGAAGGCAGAGGAGCGGCTGGTGTTTTGTCGAACACAAGCGCTGTCTCAGCCGGGAAGTGTTGATTCTGAGTTACCTCAGACCCTAAAAAGGGAAAGCCTGAAAATGAGAGACCCAGTATAAATACAGAGGTGTTGACGGCCTGAAGGAGGGGAGACAGGTCCCTGCTAAGCAGCTACACAAGGAAAGCACACAAAACCCCGCGCCAGCTTTTATTATAATCTGGTGATAGAAACATAGAAGATAAAGATCTCCTACTGACAAGGCTGAAGACCCTGATATTGAAAACATAATTGGTGCTGTTCAGAAAAAGCAAAAACCTGTGTTCCCCTCCAATGCGACGGCACGGGGCTGGCTGTAAAGCCATCCCTCTAACGAGAAGGCTGAGCGTGCGGGAGCAAACCCAACTGGCCAAAGCATCCAGCTACCTACCACCACAGATGCTCGTTTCCCCAGTCTGACCACAAAGACACACTCATAATTCAAAGGATATCTCATTTGTGGGCTGCTGTTGTGTAAAAGTGGGGTGTTAATGCCCCACAGCACTCGGCAGACACCAGCTCCTGGGTGGACCATTCCTAACGTCTCTTTGACTAGAAGTTGAGATAGCAGTCTTTTTTCAGTGGCGCCCAGTGATAGGACGAGGGGTAAT